CAGACAGACAGACAGACAGATTTTTTTTATACCCCCATAGTACCCCCAAGAATTTAAAACTACTTTCACCCCTGGTTAGGCACTTTCTTAAACAACATTACATCATGATTATAATGTTTTTATTCTTTGCAATTTTAACAAAAATAGTAAAAGATTATTAAGGCACTTAAAAAGGCATACTTTTTAGGTACTTAAACAGTATGCCTAAAAATGACATGAAAAGTACTTTATAGGTGCCTAAGAGACATACTTCTGCATATGTCTTAATTAGTTTTATTTTGTAATCAGGTTACTGCGTTTTGCAGACTTCTGCCCAGGTCCCTCTTGAAAATGAGATCTGGATCTCAACGGGGTTCACCCGGTTAAATAAAGAAAATTTTTTAAAAAAAGGCATACTTTATTAACCTAAAATTTACACTGAGATGTAATTTAAAACATACTGAAATTAATAATTTAGAGTAGTCTTAAGTGAATTTAAAAAAATTCTATTTTGAGCATATATTTTAAAATATACACAAAATATATTTTAAATATATTTTAGTAAGTGTATATTTACACTTGGGCAAATATATATTTTGTTCACTTAAAATATACTTTTATTTAATATATTTATTAAAAGTGTATTTATGTTTAAGTGTGTTTAAAGTTCTAATTTCGAAATTGGTACAATTATACTTTTAGTTTACTTCAGATAAATATATATTTATAAGTAGTACACTTAATACTTAGTATACTTAAAATATACTTTCACAAATGTAAGTATGTTTGAAATATACTAAAGTATACTTTTTTTCACCTGGGCAGATATAGCAGCAGATCTAGTGGGCTAAAAAGAAGAATCAATGTGCTTCAAGATGTTGGATATTTATCTAAGAGAGGTGTGCAGACCCTCAACAAGCTGAACTGAAGCAATATGTTTAAAAAATTAGTAGGCCATGGTTGCTAATGGAATAGACTTTTTACACAATACTTACCCTTAGTTTAGCTTCTCAACGGGGGCGGTACCGCCCTCAAGGGGCATTCAGAGGATGGCAGGGGGCGCTGGCAGAAATATTTACAAATGGGGTCGCTGAGATTATTTTGAGAGGTTTGCTCGAAGGTGAATTTTACACCTTGTATGCACAACAATTAGACTTTGAGCTACTTGCTAAAAACTGAGGTGTGTAACATTAAAACATGTTTGGCTTGTAACTATTGATGGCAGCTCTTCTTCTCTTCAGTGTTTCTGTTAGCTTCTTAGCACAGCTCCGCAGTCCTGCTACTGGTAACTTCACCGTATCAGTTCAGCGTTACACCAGCTAATGGCTTTCTGTGATTCACTGGTCAGGTCACACTTGTCTGGTTTTCAAATATAACATGTTCTATTGAGGAGTTTTGTACATATGTTTTGGCAGTGCCGTATAGAGTCAAAGCAACAACTTATATTGAAAAATGTTTTAATGTTCGTCTGGATACTGCATGCTTCCATGGAAGGACAATGGAATATCT